TTTCTGTAAAGATTTTATCATGTGTTCTTATCTGCAACTTTTTGTTATTCCACAGATCGACATAAAAAGGGGACGGGTTGATAACTTTAGATATAATACTTGTTTAACATACCATATGTTAACTTTTCTGTCATAAGTCAGGAACCCCATCACTAGTTGTCTTTCTTCGTTCATTGTTAGTTTTTTTTTGTATTTTGTTGAGGAATTTATAACGTGTTTAAGTCTTTCACATTTAAAAAAAATAATTGTAATAGGACATTACTGAAGACCGTATATTGCTCTAAATGACTTCTTTTAATGTGTAATGTATCATTGGATTGCTTCCTCATTAAGGTATATTCCCAACTCCTTTCTTCATATATTTATATTATCAATAGTTAATGTTGGCCGTCATAAAACCTTCTCAAATATTTTATCAAGGTATGCATACGGCAGATAGCTGTTTTGTCATAGTGTATGATTGCATTTTTCTTTTTTTGCTGGTATATACCTTTGAGGTATACCAGGATTGTGGTTGACATATGTTTATCGTCCCTCTGTATATACATTTGTACTTAATTGCTATAAAAATAAAATATACAATTATCTTTATGAATATTAATGCGTGTATGGAAATCTGCTTAAAGTTATTTGCAAAACCTGGGAATGGTTTTTTAAAAAGTTGAAATGTACTTATTATTTTTTTCTTTAATATGTTTTTAATTTTAAAGTACAAAAACTCTTTAAATTCTCTTTGATAGTGTATCACGTTTAAAATTTATACACTTTCATAAATAAGGGCCATTATTATATGAATAAAAAGTAAGAAGTTAACAAGGGGGCAACACAATCATTAGATGGCGAAAGACAGACAAACCCATAGCCAAACAGAAAAAGAAAAACATTTGTTGGCAAAACACTATACTTAAGACTAAAGACTTTATACGGCACCCACGTATTTAACCATTATCTAATTGGTTATACCAGAAGCAGTATTTTCCTTTCCATGGATCGAGTCATATCTATTTGAAAAAGAGAAAAGGTGATCGGACAATGCTCAAACCCTTTCGGCCTGGACATGAAAACGTTTCCGACTCGACTCGTTTGTTCGTTAAATATGACACTTTTATACGACATTATATCTTGGTAGTTTTAACAACTGGCATTTGAAGTAATATCAAAGACTATTTTTTCATTATTTGAATAACAAAGTGATGGAAATTTTGTTGGGAGAATTCTCTATGCGATTCAATTCGTATACGGGTGGCTCTTTAGCTTTATTGGACAACTATTTGACTTCCTGGGTATGACCTACAGAAATTAAAGCATTCCATTGAGCATTTCATTCGAAAATCGAATAAATGTTTACCCTTTCCAGAAGGCTATAGAGCTGAAATAAACAACTAGAGGCTCTAAAGAGCCTGTGTCGCTCACCTTGGTTTATGTGCATATTAAACAAAGGACACAGATGGATTCATGACAAAATTGTGTTTTGGTGATGGTGATGTATTTGTAGATCTTACTTTACTGAACATTCTTGCTGCTTACAATTATCTCTATCTATAATGAACTTGGCCCAGTAGTTACAGTGGAAAATATTTTGTAAAAATTTACAAAAATTTACAAAATTTATGAAAATTGTAAAAAATTGACTATAAAGGGCAATAACTCCTTAAGGGGTCAATTGACAATTTTGGTCATGTTGACTTATTTGTAGATCTTACTTTGCTGTACATTATTGCTGTTTACAGTTTATCTCTATCTATAATAATATTCAAGATGATAACCAAAAGCTGCAAAATTTTCTTAAAATTACCAATTCAGGGGCAGCAACCCAACAATGTGTTGCCTGATTGGTCTGAAAATTTCAGGGCAGATAGATATTGACCTAATGAACAATTTTATCCTGTCAGATTTGCTCTAAATGCTTTGGTTTCAGAGATATGAGCCAAAAACTACATTTTACCCTATGTACTATTTTTTAGCCATGTCGGCCATTTTGGTTCGCGAGCGGGGTCATCGGACACATTTTTCAAACTAGATACCCTAATGATGATTGTGGACAAGTTTGGTTAAATTTGTCTTCGTAGTTTCAGAGGAGAAGATTTTTGTAAAAGATTACAAAAATTTACGAAAAATGGTTAAAAATTGACTATAAAGGGCAATAACTCAGTTATCTCTATCTATAATAATATTCAAGATAATAACCAAAAACGGCAAAATTTCCTTAAAATTACTAATTCAGGGGCAGCAACCCAACAACGGGTTGTCAGATTCATCTGAAAATTTCAGGGCAGATAGATCTTGACCTGATAAACAATTTTACCCCATGTCAGATTTGCTCTAAATGCTTTGGTTTCAGAGATATAAGCCAAAATCTACATTTTACCCCTATGTTCTATTTTTAGCCATGGCGGCCATCTTGGTTGGTTGGCCGGGTCACCGGACACATTTTTTAAACTAGATACCCCAATGATGATTGTGGCCAAGTTTGGTCAAATTTGGCCCAGTCGTTTCAGAGGAGAAGATTTTTGTAAAAGTTTACGGACGACGGACGCAGGACGACGGACGCCAAGTGATGAGAAAAGCTCACTTGGCCCTTTGAGCCAGGTTAGCTAAAAATGTATGCCAAAGTAATTTTTCTATTAAGACTTTTGCAAAAACCTCTAAATGCACACTTACCAATTTAACTAAAAAATATGAGCACTACTCAAAGTACTCTGATCAGTTAAGATGTTGTTTTTTCACGGTTGTTATAAACTACATCTTTGTAAAACTTTTCGCCTCGATGTAATTATTTCTAGGTAAGAAGCATACCAATATAGCTGATGTCAAGAATTAAATAATAGCATTTGAATTATTTGTTTATCTATAATTGTTTAAATTAGGATTATAATTGTAATTGTGCAAAATAAACGCTTCAATGTTGCGATTTGCTAAAGTGTAATGAAAAATCCATTGTAGAAGTCTTGGCTAATTCATGGCTAAAAAGTGGGCCATTTTTTTCTATCCTTCCTACTGACCAAAAATTATAAAAATCAAATTGGTTGATTTAGATGTCGACAATTCGTTGAATTCATAACATTACAAAATGTAATTAATTGGCCTTATCGTTAGATCTCAAAGAGACAACAGTTAATTAATTGGTCTTATCATTAGATCTCAGGGACACAAGAGTTGATCATAAGTTCTCAGGGAGACAACAGTTCAAAAATTGGTTGTTAGCTTCTTCAATACTTGCATGACTAGGTCAATAGCAAGAACAGATTCGACAAATATTAAAATACTAGTATAACGATTGTATGCGGATTTTGTATGATATAATTGTAATTTTCTGCATTTAATGGAAACTTCATTGGATACTCTATAATCCTGCCAACATAACATATCTCACTCTTTTTATGATTTCCTTTCGATGATCTGTTTCCCCCTCATCCAGGACAAAATTTACTTTATTGTTTGTTCAAGACCTGAATGGCCACTAAATGTTATGGAACCAATCATGGCCACTAAATGTTATGGAACCAATCCCGATGGGCAAACTCAACCATTAATAGAAAATCTGATGCTCACTTTAAATTCAAAATCCCAGACGAGAGAAGTTAACAAAGTTAAAACTCGTTATCTTACAATTCAACAATTAGTCAAGTCTATATGTATCAACTACTAGTATTGTTTGTAACATGTTAAAAAAACCACGGCGAGTCAATGCACTGTCATACTATTTTCATTTAAAATGGATAGATATCCAAATAGGTTTGTGAAATCTTGCAACTTTGATGAACAAAATAAACAATCATTGTTGAAAGACGACGATGACCTATAATTGCTCTAATATACCTTCATTTGAACTCTGGTGGATATCTACCGGTATCTCATTGTAGGCAATCTCCTTGTTTTTATATAATTTGAGTTATCTCCTATTGTTCATAAAAATGAAATGACCTACCAAGGTTTCGTGTTAATTTCCAACACTTTATTTCCTCTTTGATACTGCGGAACGTTTGGTAATTTCCTCGGTTGTAATTGTAAAGGGTATTGATTTATCATACTGTGGGCATTCGTCCATGATTGGTAATAGCCAAATAGAAAACAGCTTATAATATTATGAAAAGGGCAGTCAAATGTGGACTAGTAATGATACATCTAACATACTTCAATCTAATTTAAAATAATATAAAAATACTTTTATATTGTATGCGGCAAATGAACATTTACAAAGGAAAACCTGTTACGATTGATTTGATATACTATCATATATTTTATAAATAAAAGCTTATCTGAAAAATATTAAAGAAAACATCTTTAATATTCAATATATATCCAAGTTAATAGACACAAAAAATGTGTTTATGTAGATGAATATTATTTCTAGTAAATTTCATAATATCTTTCTTAAAACAAAAACAGACTCCCCCCATTTCCCCCCAGAAGGACAGGAAAACAGATACGAAGATTGATGAAGCCAATGCGGATTATTCCATCCCTCAGTCTGTTAAATTATCACAGAAATAACGTATATATATATATCGTCTCAAATTTAGACCAACAAAATATATTTCGAAAATGAAAAATTCCTTGGTATGTATGTGTATTTGAAAAATCAATAACCAAAAAAAAACACAAATGATTTACAAGATGTTTGCGCTTTCATCCGTCGTATCGGCTCTTCGAACAGTTTATGAACGTTAATAGGTGTTAATATATATATGTTTGCGTATCATTGTCAGGAAACCGAAACCAAGTATCTGGTTGTACTCTTTTATCTTTTATAAAAGAGGACAACCAGATACTTGAACCAGATACTTGGTTTCGGTTTGCCTGACAATGATACGCAAACAGGAAAAATGTATAAAAGTCTAAAGATATGTACAACAATACTAATAAGATATATACTAAGGTCATTAGACATATACACACAAGGTTGATAAAGCAGATGTACTTTGAATTTTCTCAGATTAGCAGCTCATAAGTGATACCAGCTGTCAATCGTCTGTCCATACTACTACAGTCATACTCACGTGCATTTGTACATCCGAAGAATAGTTCACAATATTCCCGTGGTGATCATCGTGATAGAAAAGTGTAGGTATACAGTATGCAACTTATCACTTTCTTAATCTTTAACTGTAAAAATAATTGGATCTTTATGATATTGTTACAGTTTAAGGTGAAGACAAGAAATCTCTTTAGCGTTAAGAATACGTTAAGAATACTTTATATCTAAACTTTCATCAACACGTTCAGGTATCGGTAGTATTTTTAATAATTCGATTCATCATGTCTCTACTCCATCTACTTTATTGCTTGATCCTGATACATATTAACATCGTTCATGACTTATCACCAAATATGACTTTTTGACATGAGGAGAAAAAAGTAAAACTAACGAAAAAGGAAATGTTTACCCTTCTTTTACCACCCTAAGTTTCTTTTTCATGTTGTGTTTATGGACTATTATCATTATTTTTTCTTTTATTGCTAATTCGAAAAATTTCTAAAAGGAGCAGAAAAAAAACAAAATAACATATTAACCTCCCCCCGCCCAAAAAAAACCAAACACAAAAACAAAATCAAGATTAATCTATTTTAAATTGAGTTACTTAAAGTATATTATTTCATTGCCTTATGAAAGTCGTGAGTGCCAATTTGATTTCTAGTTCTTTGGATTTTCTTGTCCTGTTTTAGAGGAATTCAGTTTTCATAATCAAAAAAAGTTACCGCTTCCGCAATTTTTTTTTATCAGCGTGCCGCTCAGAAATAAGATGCGATTTGTATAACTTTCTGTATAAGTATCTCAAACAGCTAAAATGGGAATGCCAACAGTTTTTGTGTCAGCCCAGTAACGTAGATGAGCAGTTATTGAAGCCGTCATTGCACAAACAGTGGTCCTATGTGCTTCCTGACCGTGTGCATACCTACTATACGAAACAAAAAAACATGAACTCTTAGAATATTTCGTTCGATGATCACAAACACATTGATATTTGCCCATAGTTATTGTCATCACCGATCTTAATTACAATTCATTTTCTTATCTGTTTTTGTAAATTTCCCTAAAGTATTTGATTTTGATGAAACCTAATATTCGCCTGTTGGTGTTTTAACATGCACGAAGAACACATGTTTTGTCAGATGGACTTCAGAGAGTAACAAAGTTATTGACATGTTCACGTTATAAGGGGGTCATTTGTTCAAACGGGGACATACTTATATCAAAATACATATACACGCCTGTAAAAAAGTAGATTTCAATAACAAGAAAACATCGCTCGCTCGCCCTATATTTTTGGGGTCAGATGTCGGAAGAACTAGATATCAAATTAGTGTGCCCTAAGAGCCCTAGCTCTTGATTGCTTTAAAGTATGAGCTTTTTAGTTAATCGTTGTATCCTTCGAAAACAGCAATCAAATCGCACATACCTTTAATCGTAACGTTTAATTAGAATTTTCTTCATGTCTGTTAGTCCAATTTCATGCTTTTTGTAACGAGTATGTATTAATCATGTCACTTAATTTAATGAAAATGTCAATCATTTAATCAGTATGAAGTAGAATTGTAACCTTATGTTTCTGTTGGTTGTTGGTATCCAGAAATTTCGTTTCTTTTGACGGACTCAGATGTTCGAAAAATTCTGGGTAGCTGAGTGATTGTACACACAAACCACCAACAGAAATGTCCTGATTTTTATGATGTCATGCAAATATGGTGCATAAAATGTGCACGAAAAGATGTACGATATTTAAATTGTCTTTCTTTCCTGCCTTGTGGAAAATAAGAATAGAAGGGCAGCATAAACTACTGTTATTGTTATATCGTTTTCAGTATATAAAAAAGAACACATCAATTAATTGAAAATAAATTGAAATATTAAAGAATATTTATATAAAAAAATAAGGAAAAGGTAATCATGCCATGAGCGCGTGTTAATATGATGAATAGTGGTATACGGACGGCAGATATGAAACACTTCGACATATTTTAGATAGGACATTTTTTTCGAGCTACGTGTTGATTTATTTAAGCCAAGACTTCTTAAATTTTCTTTAAGGGAACGACCATTTAACTTCAAAAGGGGGGGGGGGGGGGGGGGGGGGGGGGGTTTGTTTTTTTCCCCAAGCAGATGACAAAAAAAATATTCTGAAATCCAGCTGGATTTTTCTGACTCAGACAAAAAAACATAACACCCCCCCCCCCCCCCCCCCCCCCCCCAATCCCCTTGAAGTTAAATGGTTCCTCCATAATGTAAAATGTATATACTTTTGAACAGGTTATTATGCTCAAGGGGAGGGGCGACCCTAATAATGTCAAAGACCGTAGCAAGGCGTAACAAAATATAACATTTATTTTCGATTTTTGTGAGGAACAACCTCCCCACCTGATTTTTATTTTTAAGAAAAAAACTTTATAAAATTTTAAACGAAAGACAAATGTACCACGTGCGAGAAGCTTATTTATACTATATAGCATCGAACGATTGAAGGTTGTGTCGTAGCACAGGTGTAGTTATAAGGAATTAACATAATCTCTAATTCATGAACATGTGGTAACTGCTCTATTTCAATGTTAAGACACTGTAAAATACAGACTACTTAGGGAGCAACCTTTTAACTTCAAGGAGGGGGGGGGGGGGGGGTTATAGTTTTTTTGTCTGAGTCAGAAACTTTTTTTCGCACAAAAATAACGAACATTTCTTTTTTAGTTTTTCGACGCTATCAATCAAATTATTATTTTCAAAATTTAACACTTTAAGGTATGGGGAAAATCTGGATTCAAATTTTTTTTTGTCATCTGCTTGACCACAATATTTGTTTTCATCAAATTGGGGATCAGAATATTTTTTAGGGAAAAACCATACCCCCCTCTTGAAGTTAAATGGTCGTTCCCTTATTAATAGTTCATCAGTTACAATACTTTTGAGTGCTGAACTAAAAAGTAAAATAAATTACTTCATTTATTTGTTCGTCGCAAATCAACTTAATGACACTTTGAATCATATTACAATCCCTACAATTGACAAAAACTTGTGTTTTCCAACTTTTTATAAACCTGCATACACACAATTATGCATTACTAAAACGAATGCTTGTAAAGTATTACTTTAATCTTCTTAGGTATATAACAAGTTCATGGACGGGCTACTGGTCAGTTTTATCTTGTAAACAAACTTCTTAGTGTAATAACTTGTTTGATGTCCCTTTTCAAGCGAAAACAGGTACTATATGCAACTTGTAAGATTATAATAGCCAGTAATAGGTAAGTCAAGAAATAATTCGAATTACGTCGGAAGACAATTTACGCTATTGAATAAACACTTAATTGTGAAAAAGGGTATGCAATATTAATTTTCAGAATGAAATATTTATGTCGTTTCATGCATAATCATCATTGTCACTAAAAGCAGGAACTAATTATATTGTTCATTTCAAATTTAATATAATTTGAACTTCTTGCCGCATACTGAATTCCATATGTTAATGGAGTCTTATTTTTCAATGTAAAGAAACGATATAACAATTATTCAATAAAAGGGAACTCTGGAAGGTCACATTCGGAAGCTTCCTAACTATGAAAAAACTTCCGAAAAGAGAGTTTGGTAATTTGCTAGTTGTGGATGATTTGTTCACACGAATAGTTTCAATGCTTACATTTATTTTAGACTTAACTATGGTTCAAAATTACTTCATGTAGTGTATCTGTATTCATTACAGGTTTTCACCTCAATGTTCGTTGTGAAGATTTCTTTTGCAAGAAAATTGATGATAATTTGCTGCAAAATATCATTAATGTCATAAACTCTTACTCTCTCATATGACTGATCGATTGATATAATGTTTAACGCCACTTTCAGCACTATTGGCTATTTTATGGCGGCCAGTTTTTATTGGTGGAGAAAGCCGGAGTGCCTGGAGAGAACCACCGACCTCAAGTTGGCAGGAAAGCTGACAATCCTAGTCAATTAAGTGTGAGCTCTTTAATTTATCGACGAAGACCTCCCAACAACTGTCAAGCAGATTAATAACAGCAAAAGCTTTAGCCTTTTTCTTTTAATATTACACAAAATACTGTGGATTTGAATTATTGCCAAACAGGTAAAATTTGATTTGAACACTGTCCATTTATAAATCTTATTTTTTAAACGCATGCAGAGTAAGGCTCAATGAATTTAAACGGTAAAATGAGGATACAACTAAATTACGTAAGACAACCTTCATGTTTTGGAAATACAAATGTGCAAACTAAACATGGAGGTCTTCAATAAAAAAAAACTTTTAGAATGTTCAGTTGCTACCTGATATACATGTTTTTGATGTTTCTGTAATGAAACAAGCTTATTAAAGATGTATTGTGACAGGTGCAAAATAGCTGTTTTGTATTTGTAATGTAAATTGTCAAAATCAATATTATCGATATAAGTAAAAGATACTCTTTATCAACAAAAATATATAATGCACCATAAAACTCAGAACACATCAATATTGTAGTTGTCAATTGTTAATAAGACCGAACTTTTAGAAGGAAATTGTAATTTACCCAATTAAAATCTCGTCAATATCGAACTTAATAATTTTCAAATGGAAAATAGTACTTTTGTTTATCAAAGAATATTAATTTGAATAGAGGTACAGTACAATCTTTAAGTAAGGTTTTTTATTTATAAAATAACTTTTTTTCACAGTTTGCGTTTCATTGTACATATGTGATTAACACACTTTACTTTCGAGATCATCAATGTTGTTCATACCATCGAGTTTTAATGAATCTTAATTCTCGACACGATTCTGCCTTCAAATTGATCAGGATTAAAATCATTTGACTGGTATCAATCAATTACGTTTTCATGGTTTTCCTGATTACATTATAGTCTCGTTGTGATTACATTGCAGTCTCGTTCTGTTTTTTAAGGTATGGGACAGACAATATTATAATATGACAAGTTCAATAAACCAACCCTTACAAATAATATAGTGGTTTTTTTTTTGTATTTAGAAGATTTGGTGTTCTTTGATTGTCACTGTTAATCACAACTCTCTAGATTCTGGTTGATTTAGAGCATGACATATTTTATAGACATCTGTATTGTTGCATGTGTTCACTTCTAGATGTCTTTGTGGTATACATGTCGT